CAAACCCCCCCCCCCGGCCAACCCCCCCCCCCCCCCCCCACCACCCCAGGCCTAGCAGCGACACCTCGGGGCAGCTCCCCAGCAACTTCGGGGCCTGGTTGGCCACCAACTTCTCCACCCGGGTCCCCAGAATCCCCGCCTCGCGGGACTCGTCGACTCGTCGACCCGCCGCGGACGAGCCAGGGAAACCAAGGCGTGCGGACGAATTTCTTGGTGGCTGCAACGACCCCCGTGCAACAAGTTGACCCCCCCCTTCCACTAACACAGGGCTCCCTATATTTCCCCTTGAAACATCACAACTACCAAGGGACACTCACCTTTCATGGGCCAAAAAGGTGATGTCTAAAATCACCAAGAAGGGAAATATAGGGACCCCCTTCCAACATGGCACCTCTAAAAGGGCACCTGGGAGATTTTGTGTCCTCAAGGGAAGTTCAAGGGACCCCATGTCTGGTGCTACGTTAGTTGGAGGGGGGGGTAACTTTTTGGGGGTTTAGTTTGGAAATCCAACTTGATTTCGACCAAAAAGTTGAAGTCTATATAAATATATAAAGATCCAACCTAATAGCCGTCAAGAATCCGTCCGCCCTAAGCTTGACCCCGGATCAAGAAGACCCGGTTTATGAATATGGGGGTGTCCCCGGCTTCAGTGGGGATTCGTCACTTTTGACGGGGAACCCCCCATATGAATAAACAGGGGTTTATTAATCCGGGGTCAACATTACACCTTTGGCGCCTCTACTTAACATGCACCAACATGGGACAGCCAAAAGCTCCAAAAGGTCGATTCGCTTTGGGCAGACCAATGCGCGAGCTCAGGCGATGTTTACTGCAGTTCTTCGCTTTCAACAAGTGGTTCACTCCCAACCTCTTGAATATTTGTTTGAACATCCAGACCAGTCAAGGCCTGCAGCGTCTTGCTCTCCAAATGCTGGCGTACATCCTCCAAGTAGTCGCGGTACAAGTCGTCCCCCAAGCAGTGCAAGCCGTCGTAGGCCACCTGTCGACAGGGGGCCCCGGAATGAAATGATGCTTCCGTCTGGCTCAGCCGGACTTCTACCCAGAAAACCACTGGGCTACAAACAAAAGCCATGGCTAAGTGTTGTGCGGCCTTGCGGGCACAAAACTAGACATTGCCGAAAACAGCGGGTCCAAGGGAAGCCAGGCGACCTGGCGTCTAGATTCGGCTACGTGAATCACCTAATCACCTAATCACCTGATTGCCATGTCGAGATCTCTTTGCAGTTTTGGTTCTTCTTGCAAAACCAAACCGGCAGGGAATCAATCAAACCTTGATGGGGGGGGGTCCTTCATCTTAAGGACCCAGTCAGAAACCCGAGGAATCTCTTCAGGTGTGTGCGAGAAACGAAATGACTCGGGGGGACCTCGGGAAACCAAAGCCAACTTCGAGAACTCGAGAACTCGCCCCATTTTTCGGCAAAAAAAAATGCCCGAACACGGATCCCCTGCCAACGGCGGCCGGACATGGCTGAGTGCAAGGGAGAACTTCACAGGGCCCGCAAAGGCTGACTCACCTTTTCAATCACACCACGTGGGCTGGGGATCTTCTTTTTGCTGGCAGCTCCAGCTTCGCATTTGCCTTTCTCGCCGCGGGAGAATGTGTGCATGTTGTCAGCGGTTCCAGCTCCCCCAACAAAGAAAAGGACACCACAAAAAAGGCATCTTAAAACTAATGAACAAGCTGCCAGCCAGCCAGCCAGCCAGCCAGGGTAACCAAGCAAACACTCACACACACACAACCAAATCAAACACATAGTTCACGAACGCCGCACATGTCTGGGTCCATACAAGGCGAGTAAACGAATTCAGCCTTGACGTCCAACTCCTGGTGGTACCTGGGAACTGACCACTCCTTGGCTTTGTTGCATCTTTTTCTGATCATGAATCTTAATGGGGAACCCCTGCAAAGTGATCGGTGGACATAAATCCCCACCTAAATGATGTCCACAAATTCAATTCATCTCCAATTGCGACACCCGATCATGACTCCAGTGACCCCAAGGGCCCAATGTTCAGGGCCCCCGCCAGATGGTGCATTTCGGCTGGGCCTGACGTGTTCAGGGGCCCATCCCCTGTCGGCGTCCATGGTTTCATTCTTGGGGGGATCAACAAATCATGGGCTTGGCACCCAGGTTGCAATGCATCAAAGCTCACTCGCCCTAAGGACCTGGAAACAGGTTCTGCGCATGAACCAGCATGCAAACAGAAAACAGGTCGACAGGTCAGCTTAAAGCACGGGAGGAAACACCGTCACAGCAGTGCTTCATCACACAGATTTCGGAACCACATTCTCATTCTATACAAGGAGCTGAAGGTGATGTGTCAGAATGTAGGCGTGAATTTTGAATGGCAAGGCAAAGGGTGCTTCTACACAGCCTTATGAAGAATGTACGGGTGCAAATTCGCAACTGGGAAGTTGGGGCCAACTTCAAAATCTGGTGAAACAGGGCGAACGCAGCTATTTTTACTTGGGATGGTCCCCGACTAACCTTCAGCTAGATGGACATCGACTTGTGCAACGAATAGAAAAGGTAGCACGCTGGGGAGAGCCATCCCAAACAGCTACCAACTCATGCAATGGCGAAACTTCGAATTGCTTTTCGCCCCCTGAAAAAAAAGAAGCACACATTTCCAGCAGTGATAGATTCCCTTTCAAACCAACAGGATAATCCGGGAAAATAACACAACTACTCTTAGGCTTGTGGCATTGGCGAAAACATCCTCGAACGCGATTTGCAGTCCTTCATGCCCCCAACAACCCCAAAACGGCCTCCAATGCACCCCCCCAACCCCCACACAGGGAAACCGGGAATGGAATTCATGGAGTTACCTCCTACCCCCAGTCCTTTCGACGACCAGAAAAGGTTGTGACAGCTTGTGGCGCTCCTGCTCTAGATTGTGCATACCCCACATTTATAATACATTTTTGCAGGTGTATGTATGCAAATATGTTGCATACATGTATGCAATTAATACTTACACACAAAACCCCTGGAAAAATTAAGAAAAATCCAGTAGTGATAGATTCCATTTAAAAACAAAAAGGGGAAAATAAAAAATAAAGCATATTTATTGATCAAATGGAACTAACTGTAAGACACAAACAACTGTACACGACCGAATCGCCTGTGTGGCCATCCAATTCCCCCCCCCCCCCGCCCCAAATTCTTGGCAAAGACACGGCCACGTGCAGCCGCAGCTCAGAGCACTGGTGCTTGTGCGCCCGGCAGCAAGACCTTGGGCTCACACGTACCGTTGCTTCAGAACCCCAGGTAAAAGGGTGTTTTGACGTGGCCATGGCACAGAGTGTGTGGATGTGTGTCTGTCTTGATTGCTTTCCCTTGTTCGGGTCCAGGAAAGCCAACAAGTGTGCAGTTTGGAAATCGGACAAGGCCGGGGAAAACAGGCGTGTTGATTGGTTCATGTTGAGGCCGGGAAGCCCGGGTCCGCCACAAAAAAATACACGCTTGGCACGGCTTGCTTTGCCCCGAAGAAGGCCGAGGCGCGCTTAAAGCCGGCAACAGATCCTGCTTAGGTCAGCAGCAACCACCAAAAACCACCAGCTGGCTAAAAAAAACAAACATCAAGTGCAAGGGAAGAAGTGGACCATTTCCTAGTTGGAGCTTGGAACGGCCGCTAAGAAATGCCCTCCAGTTGGAAGTCAACAGATCTTATTGACAAGCAGTGTACCCCCCAATAATCAGAGGCAGGGGTTGGCGGGTCCCCCAATTCCATGTTTCAACTCTTCCCCCCAAACTGAACAGTAGAGCTACAAGTCATAATCTAGAACATCCCCTCCAATCAATTACCAGCTTCCCTCTAGTTGGGATTGGTGCTTTGGAGTCTGGAGGTTCATTTGCCTCTGAAAGAACCAGGGCTTCAGATCCCCAAGCCCCCGGCCAAGGCGACCGAGCCTTGGGATTGACCCTGTTTAGTCCTGAGCCCACCCCAAAAAACGAGACATGGCGCCGCGGAACATGGAATTGAACCAACTTTCAGTGGGTCGCGGACGACTACCGAGCACAAACATCACCTGAGATCAGCCAGCAACGTGCCACTGAAGAGTTACATGCAATCAACTGGACTGGACCAAACGCGGGACGCCCGGCACCTCTTTTCTCCGGCTGAGTGTGCGATCAGACATCCAAACGAGGCTCCCCTTAAAGGAGCGGATGGTCGAAGCAATGAACGGTGGCCTTGGCGTAGGCTTCTTGGGCTCCAGCGACGGTGTGGGAATCTGCGATCCGTGCCTTAAGGTTCGTTCTTTCTTGGCCCAAGCTGCGGCGAGAAGCGGAGTGCACGGAGCTCAAAAGCACACCTCAACTTCCTCAACGCTGGAGGCTTGCTGGCGCTTTGGCATGTGACCTTCGACAGAAGCGTGGGGACATTCAAGAAAGTTCTCGCACCGATGCGCATCCGGAAAAATATTCATTCTTGCGTCTGCCCGCATCTCCCTTAGGGGGAATTAGCTGCACATGCCCTCAAAGGCAGCATGATTATTCTATCGGATAGCTAACAATCGAAGCGCAGTCAATTCAGTTATGTCTTGCCAACTTTGTTCCCCACCCTGAAAAGAAAATCGCGGAGACAACTGGTGGGAAAACTGTGGCGGTCCGCTGATACTAAGATAATACTAACCAACACTAAACTGATACCACCTAATACTGAACTCGTACTCAGCCAATCCTGAGCCAGCACAACCAACTGAGGCCCCACACAGCCAAATGATTTGTGACACTCTTTACCAAAACAGTCGCCCAAACAAAATTTCTCAAAGCGGGGGTAGGGGGGGGGGGGAGGGTACAGGGAAGACCCAAAAAGCTAAAATTCTCAGGGGGGGGGGGGGGTAGGGTACAGGGAAGCCCCAAAAAGCCAACAACTAACAATGTTTCAGGAGAGGAATTAGAGAAACAAACAATATCTGGGCCAGTACCGAGGAATACTAAACAAGCACCAAACCAATTCTAAAGACTACTGCACAAAGGAATGCAAAACCAATACCTAACAAGTTCTAAACAGTATTGGCCAGCTCAAAGGAATACTCAAACACTTTTAAACCAGCACCAAGTAGTACTTGCTAGTTGAGTAGGTCCAACTCTGACCCCTAATTTGTTTTAGGCGTTCCCCTGCTGACCCCCCCCCTCAATCAGGTGTCTTTATTGTTCACTATCCATCATTATTCGATTCGCTCATGCCTCACGGGCAAACATTCTGGTCAAATCTGCAACATTGCTTGCTAGGGAATGAGGCAATGACTGTAAACAATCCCCCATGGTTTCCTTCAAGGGAATCCCAAACGCCCAAAACGGTTCATTCCCAACTCTGCGTCATTCCCTGCTGAGCACAAGCAATCCAGGGATCCTTACATTATACTCCTGAACATTGCCTTGTAAATGGTGGTGTCCCTTTATTTTGGTGGAAACAGCCATGTTTCACATGGGCAAAATGTATCTTTTAAGGAGCACAAGCAATCCTGCCCCTCTTCAACGTGGAAAGCTGAGATGGCTAGTCTTTCGGCTTCTCTCGGCCGACAAAAATGAGGAAAGCACTCGGCAATGCACGCATGGGCGATCATGGCGCGAGGCTTCCTGTCGGCCAAACTATGGAAGTCTAAGTGAAGTGAAAACTGGTTGACAGCCAGGCAATTCTCAAAATGAAGAGAACATTGGACATTGGCTAAAAGACCGGGCGCTGCCACTTGCCATATCTTGGATTGCTCTGGCACAGAAACGAGCCACTGCACGGCGTTCAATCAATTGACAGCCAGGCATGTTTTCCTCGGAAACGAGTGTTCCAAACGTAGGGCGCCCCCTTTCTTTGCATGGTTGCACAGGCAAAAAAGAATAGGGAGCCGACCGTGTTAGATGCAAATTTCACGCGGAACGCACCACACCCTCTTCAGCTGCGTCAGATGTCAGCAGCAGAAGAAGGATGCCTGCTGGTACGCGTCTCCATACTTCGGAACTTTGTGACCGCAGGCCTTCTTCCTAGGCAAACGGGCGGGGGGCATGCTCGGTTCACGCTAAAACCAGGAAACATCGAATACTCACTTGCCAAAGGGCCTGGATACAAAAGGTCGACCTTTTGCACTCACGAAATGAACATCTTGGACATCAACAGACTCTAGGTCCTCCACTAGAGAGGTTTGAGTAAGGGTACCAACTTTTCTCTGTAGTCTATTTTAGTAGGGGCTTGCCCTCCCAACCAAAAAGAAACGGTAAAAGGTGGCACCTAGCTGGGGGACGTAGGAGTTCGGCCTTGGACATCTGGGAGTCAAAGGGGCAAACAAAGCAACATGCTTCTGGAGGCCTGACACAAGGCCCTGGGAGCCGATGGGAGCCGTCTTTGGGTGGCAGGTCTTCCTTTTTCAGCGCTCCCCAAGACCAGGGCACCTCCCGGAAACAAGTTTCTGCCGAAGGATCGCATGGACAAAAGCAAGACATTTCGCAGAATCTCGTTGTGGGAGATGCCTTTTTTGTGCACCATGGACTCCATTTCAAGTCAGTACTCTTACCTGCATTTCAGCATGGATGCATGCAAACATCCGTACATGAAACCCTACGAGACCATGTTTGATGGTTAAATGAGAAACTACTCACTTCCAGAGTGGGTGGCCCCAACAAAATTCGCCGAGTTCTGTATTCCACTAAAATGGCCCTCAAAAGACAAAGTTCATGCCGAACGCCAATGCCACAAGTCGCTTCCAGTGGAACCTTTCGATAGCGACGCAAGACGAATCAGCAACGCCCTTGGTTCCCCGCCCCCACCAAAGAGAGTTTCAAACTACTGATGGCTTCCAGTGAAACTGGAACCATTATCAAACGTTACATCGGGAAAATTCTGAAGTACGTGTCTCAAACTAGGCCCTCCAAACCGATGAGGAACCCAAGTTTTCCCCTTGAAACCCACCCCAAACAGGGTCTCCTGAAAAAAAAAGGGGAGGGAGAAGCCTTCTTTGGCTTGTCCCTGTAGCCCCCCACCCCAGATAATTACCCTCAAAAAAACGAGGAGGGAGAAGCCTTCTTTGGCTTGTCTCACCGCAGTCCCAGGCTCAACTCCTGATAGGTCTCCTGAAGTGCCATCCTCTGAGAATCGTCGATGCCCCGGTCGATGAGCAGCTGCCGGGCGCAATCGCCGTCCACCACCCCGATGGCCATGATGTTATCCATCACGTGGTCCGCGTGGATCACCGCCTGGGTCATTCTGGGGCGACCAAAACCCGGGGGAAATGGCTGGTTTTTAGAAGAACCATGGTTGAAAAGAATGGGGAATCAACCCCTAGAGGAATGGGGGGACTGGCACACCACTGGAAGATGGAAAACGTAGTCTTGCCAAGTGTGGGTCAAGGATGGCCCACAGTAGGTCCACCAAGGATTCAAGCATTCACCGGAAATAAAAAATAAGCGGGTGGCCGGAGTGAACAAAAATAACAAACGGCAATCCAAGAAACATGTAAAACACGCAACGGCACATGAACAAATCTACACCAAACAAGGTTGAGAGCCTGCCCTCAAAATCAAAATGTTCATCTTCCCCAATGTCATCATTTCTTACATGTGGTTTGCTCAAAACTGCCCCAATCAACTCAGAAAAGGGACCCATGTGCTTCAGGCCCCGAAACTTGAGCCCAAGACGTTGGGGCCTCTCCAAAGTGTTGCTGCTGCGCCCCATAAAAAATGCAAGGAGGAGGCTCCAGCAATACATCAAATGGAAACTCAAGTCCGCACTAAATGAATCGGAAACTCGGTTCCAAACTCAAAGGAATCTCCAGCAATATTACATCGAATGGAAACTGAAAACAAAACATCGAAAAAAAAAGCTCCAGTAATGCCAAACCGAATGGCAACTTAAACCCAAATATCAAAAGGAAGCTCCCAATACTGAATGAAATGGAACCTCTAGTCCAAATCCCAAAAGGACGCTGCAGCAATGCCAAACGGGAAACGCAACTCCAACCTCAAAAGGAAGACCCAGCAAGACTAAATCAAATGGGCAGTCAAATCAAATCTCACAAGGAAACTGCAGGTAAGGAGTCCGGGTGGCATGTGAGCGGAAAAAACTCATTCGGGCAGGCTACTTTGGGCTGGTGTTTTCTAGTTCACGCAGCTTACATCAGGAATCCAAAGTTGGGGAATCTTCATGGGTGAAGCATTGACCCAAAGACTTCTCTCCGAAGACTGGCTAGTTTGTCCACCCCGCATTTTTTCGCGGTTGCCTCTCGCTTGTCCAAGGTCTTCTGGCGCCAGTTTTGCAGCACCCGATCCAGTGCCAAGATCTGAGTCACATAGCGTTCTGCTTTGGCTTCAAGGATCAGCTGCTCCTTGCTCTTCCCCTGGCGAGGTTGTTGCAGGTTGGTATAGCGCCATTTGTGAAACGACCTATTGTCAGCATGTATATGGTTGTATCTGTTTTTTTTTGTTTGTTTTGTGCTTTCAGGTCTTCACAGGCATCACCCGCACCACAAACATGCATGCAACAAAGTGATCCCTCTCACAGGTAGTATGTACGTTAGCAACAGCTTCCAGCTACGGTCCCGGGCTGCATTTGCAGGCGTTTGAAGGATGGCTACCCCCAGGCTGAACCATACCCTGGTAAGGATCTGAGAAACATTCCCTTGTCAGTTGGCAAAAGAGATGGCTGTTGAGACCTAGTTAGCTAGCTAGCCACTTAGCTTGCACTTCCACTAGCTAGAAAAACAAAACCAGCAAACTAGCTAAATAGCCGGCTAGAAAATTGGCTCGCTAACTAGCTTGCTGGCTATCTGAGGCAACTACCCAGCTAACGAACTACCTGCAAGCTTCCTAGCGAACTGGGTTAATTATCCAATTCACTAATGACGCTGGCTAACTATTAGGCTTTCCAGGCCCCAACTTGCTAAGCGCAAGCTAGCTAACTCTTGCCTCGGGCCAGCTATCTACCCAACTGCCCAGCCATCCAACTGAATAGCTAGCTGGCTAAGCAGTTGGCTAAGTATCGGACTTGAGCTCAAACATAAAGACGCAGAACAAGTTGCGCTTGCATGCGCTCGAAGTTCAAAGGAAGCACGTTCCAAACTGAAAATATCTTTCAAACGCTCGTCCCCCGGCAATAAAGTCATCATACGGGTAGAGATCCCATACCCTGTTGCGCACATCAATGACCCCAAAGCATCATGAAGGCGAGAGATCCACCCTGCCTCCCCAGTGAACCAAGTGAAGTAGCCAGCTTCATCCTGCTTCTCCTTCGGGGGCTCCTGCGGGTGCCCACCAAGTGAGTCTCGCAACCGCCAAAATTGGTGGCTCTTTCTTGCTTTTTCTTTTGAAGACCCTCCAACAAGGGCACCATCAACAACAAACAAGCATATCAGCATATCCAACCTCCAATAAACAAAGTGCCCTTCCATTGTGGCGTGAATTCCATTCTCTCAACGTGGTGCTGCTTAAGCAGTGACAGGAAGCAGCCGTGCGCGGGCTTCAAGAATAAGGCAATCGGTGCATCAGTGTCGATACACCAAGTTGAATCTGGAAAAGAAGTTGCGCGTTGACGCCTGCAGTCTGGATGGAAGCAACCACCTCCTAGGTCCTCCAGTAGAGAGGTTAGAAAAAGGGTACCAACTTTTTTCTGTAGCCTATTTTAGTAGGGTCCCGAACCCTCCCAACCAAAAAAGAAACGGTAAAAGTTGGCACCTAGCTGGGGGACCTAGTATTCAATATGGGGTGTTCCCCTTCAAAAGCGGTCTGAATCCCCACCCCAATAAGCCCAAAAAAAAACACCCCCCTAATAAATTGGGGTTTTAATTGCTCCGGGGTCAACATTCACCAGGGGAATGAGGAAATGAGAAAATCTAGGTGAATTACACTATTTCACCCACCTGAAATAAGGTGGAGGGATATTCCCCACATCAACCACCATTTGGGGCGATTTCGCTCGTGTGAGGTCGCTATAATTCACCCAAACAAATGACCAGGGGAAACGGGTTTGGCAGCCGCTTTGAAGGCGCCCCTTGGGCTGAAATGCAAGGCCAGCTCCGGGGCGTTTCCGAGAGACTGGCCATACCCAGTCCCACTTCTCCTCCATTTGCTTTTCGTGCCCTGGAAAAACATGAAACATCTATTTCCAGTAGTGAAATTGTTTCCCTTTAAAACCAACACGGGAAAATAACAAGTATTCATTTCAGCAAATGGAAGCAACCCAAGCGGAAGGCAGAAAATGCACCCTCCATGTACTTTTGTGGACACAAGCGGTGAGTGACTTGCGTGACCCTCGTCATCAGGGAACTCTTGGGCAGTCTACATAGGCGGGCCTATGTCGCATGTGCTCACAAACCCTTATTGAGCGCTTATCCTTGGCTGCTTGGATGAACTTCCCGTCACCATCATTCAGACTAACTATCTGCCCAGCTTGACAGAACGCTCCAGGAGGTTCTATCCAGCCCACTAACTATGAGGGACGATTACGGGCGATGTCCTCACTGCATCGATCTTTACATCGTTTACATAGCACAAAGCTATGCTTACGATTGGCCTTACACACAATCGGGGGACCTGTATTGGACCCATCGCGGACACATCCACCGGAGAGCAAGGCACCCCGGCAACACTACGCAGTCTGACAGCCGCCAGCAAGCAATGAGTTGGTATAAGCGCACTCCACAACTCGTGATAACTCGCACAGAATCAATGATTGTTCACTGCTTGGTTGACGTTGGAAGGGGAGCAACAGTTTAAATTTTAGCAGTTAAGTGGGGATTTCCCACTAAACCACAATAAGCCAAAATGTAAAATGTTTCCCCACAACAACCATGACTGGACCGTGCAACATCCGCCACTCTCCGCCCTTCCTCCAGGCCGAAAAACATGATGCGGCGTGCAGCGTGATGCGGCGTGCCGCTAAGTCCCCGAGAATGTCGTGGGAAAGCTCGAGCCGAAGGCACCAACATGGAGCAGGGGACGTCATCTTGCCATGAAAGTCAGCGTCCTTCGGGGAAAAAAAACATGCTCCACGACCCAGCCTCACGAAAAGGCTTTTGAGAGCTTTTGAGAGAACAAGCGCCCTCTGGGACTTGCAGTCAGGTCCTCTGATCTTGCAGATCAGCATGGAACCCGAAAACAAAAACACAAAAAAAACAATATCTTTAGAGGAATTTTCTGTTGGGCGGGCTTCCATGCTAATTCTCGATTGCTTTCTGCTCCCCTGCTAAAAGCTTAACTTTTAGTGGTTGAATGGAAACCCCATTAGCTGGCAAAAAGCTAAAGTCCTAATATCCAAGCAAAATGCACCCACCAAGGCAAAACATGGAAGTGCAGCAAGTGCTGCCATCTCAATGGACATGGGCCTCCCTCCCTACACGTTTCAGATTTGTGATGCTAACCTTTCATCACAAACACCTGCACAAATGGAACCTGACAGGAGGAAACTAGTCTCAGCTTTACTTGTTGCAGCCGACCCAAAGAGCAGAGTCACACAAGCAACTGAAATTGAAACACATGCAAGTAACCGTGAGCTCTGGCAAATTCAGTCTGAGTTCATGGAGAAGCGCTTGGTTTATCTGCGCGGTGTTTGACTCCCAAAAATCGCAACCTCTAGGAGGGAAGTCGCCTTGGCTTGCTCAAAACGCGAGGCCCTTCTTGTCCAACTCTGCGAGCAAAAGGTTCGAGTCGGCATCAACCCCTCACTCAAAAGCTGGCGCCAAACCCTAAGCTCCACTCGACACTCACAAGCTGGCGCCAAACCCTGGAAAGCAGCTCGACTCAGCTTCAACTCGATTTTGGCCCGATTTTGACTCGGAGTCGCTCGCAACCCTTTGTGCGGGTTGGAGGCAACGAGCCCCGGGCATGTTGGTCAACACCGCTTCGTCGAAGCACTCCATGAGGCGACCGTCCTGAAGATGTGCCCGAAAACAGACTTCAAATTGGTGGCCCGGGACAAAATGGCTTCGGTCTTGATTTGGGCGCCCAACTGATGTCCCTTGCAAATATTGGGCAAAGCTATCAGCTATCATTTTCTCCCAGTTTCTGGTTGGGAAAACAGTTTGAGTGGGCCAATTGAGTCTTTCAATCCTGGCAACGTTGATGCAAAACAATACCTAAATCATAGGGCAAGCCTTCGGTCAACTCATACAAATCGCCTTAGCTTCGGTTACCTTCTGCCAACCAAAATTGGGTCGGTCCAACGCTCACTTTCTGTACGCACCTCGCAGCAGCGCTCGTAGCTGAAGCCTTGCTGCTTCCTCCGCTGGGAGAAGCACAGGCTGTTGCCTGCGGAATCGACAAGACGCAAACCACTCGGAGCCATGATTGAAATACACCCGACAGCGACATGGAGTACTTGTTTGTTGCGCATTTGTCACTTCAGCATTTGGGAATCACAGAAAGTGACCTTACCCCAGTTTCCGCACACACACTTTTAATCACTCCAAGGGACTCGCGAGATCAGAAGGGAGCAACACGCAAGCCTTTCGAGTTTCTGAACATTATATACAATTGTGTTGTAAATGTGGAAGTGCACAATATGTGAACCACCTGCTATGACACCACCTTGAACAGCACACGTTGAACCCGCTTGAACCCAGCAACAAAATCAAAACGGCACTTGTCGGCTTTGGACCATCAACCCGCGGGGCGACTGGCAGCAAGCGCGGGAAACCCTGCGGTTTGCCTGAATTACGCCCCCCAAACAGGGATGCTGTCAAAAAGCAAAACCATTTAAGTCAAGTATTCCAAGCTTGGTTTCACGTGATTTCACATGGGATGGTTGTTTCGCTTCCATTCCCTGCCCCAGTAAAATTGTTTCTTGTGGTCATGCTTTTGCTCCCTGACCCTCGTGCTTGATCTTAGTCTGCCTTCGGTTCAGCTTGCACTCTGGACCTGCTGGGCGCGACTTGTCCTCACTGGCCACTTGAAGGCAAACAAACACTCCGCAAGTCGCATATGTTGAAAAGAGTCCTGCCGCGTTGACCCTGGTAGAATAAGGAACACTTCGGGGCGACCGATAAGTTTGCGAGGGGAAACCCCCAAACCAAACAAAAAGGGGAACGCTGGATGCACTAAGATTGCACGCGAAAGAACAAATCAAACCCATGAATCTACCGCTGAACATGGTTCGTTTACTTGCAAGATGCGCGACCACTGAAGACCTGGCACACTGTTTTTCCTTGTGGGCGAGGAGGCGCGCAGTAAAGGCGCCAAAGGCAGATTTGTGGCTGACGAAAACCCAGCACGAGAAGCTAGAAGAAGGTGAGTACAGCAAGGGGCTCAATAGAAACACCAATGCCTGATCCCACCAGTGACCCAATCTTTGATGAGTACCCCACAACTTCCGTCGGCCAACTTGCCTTTACTCACTTGGTGGAAGAACGGCACTTGCTGCTTTCAACATGGCGTTGCGAAGAAGCATCTTCGGCCGGGAAGTTGGAAGTACGTTTGTCTGGGTTTCTCGGTTGCTTTCTGCTCCCCTGCTAAAAGTTTTTAACTTTTAGTGGTTTGATGGAAAACCCATTAGTTGGCAAAAAGCTAAAGTCCTAACATCCAAGCAAAATGCGCCAAAGGTTTTCAGCCATGCACGAGCACCACCTGGCAGCCCCCGCATTGCAGGTCACCATGCCTTCGCCCATCCGGGACAAATGCGGGTGGAGCATCAAGCTACCTGTTGGACCCTTGTTCCAAGGGCACAACAGCGGCTCTGCTTTTTGTCATCGGCCATTCGAGGCTTCTGCTATCGCGACTGCGCATTCTGGGCAGTAAGAAAAGCCAAATGCCAGCTTTCAGCTGTTGCTTCTGCCTGTTGAAAATGTGATGCAACATGTTAAAATCACGCAGCGTCATGGTTGTTCATGCTTCTTCCTAGCTGCAGCTGTTGCCGCTGAGCAACGCCCAGCGGGGCTTCTTTTGCTTTTCTTGTATGGCTGGATGTGTGCCACAGCCCAGTGCACCGTTCAGTGCACATGTGAGCGCGCAAGGTTCTGCTGGCAGCTGACCTCTACATGGAAGCACCAACCACGTCATGTGAGTGAATCATTTGGTTGGATTCTGGCACCAAAAAAACTGATTTTAGTGAGGTCATTTGTGTTTTGGACGGGCAGGAGATCCAAGAGAAACTCAGGGGCCCAAAAGACCTTCGTCACGCACTGGCTTGCCTGGCCCCTTTAGGGCTCCAAACGGTTGCCCTGCTTGGCAAGGGCGTTAACCCCACAGCTGTGGGCCATCGCTTCAGTTGCGTTGCGGGGGCCTCCTAAAAAGTATGGCTTCTTTGGCTCCATCACAAATGTGGGGGACACTACCATGACAGCACTTCTCAAGGATCAAATGTCAAGTTACTGCACTATCCAAACAGTACTCTTTACCTAAACGGAAGTGGACACGGGGTTTCCCCAAAAGAAAAGTCGTCTTCCCAAACCATGATGGGGAGGGTGCAGGATCCCCGAAGCCAAACGATGGCCCAATACTTTACCAAAGTCACCCCATATATGAGAGATCTCGTAGTCAAATGAAACGATGAAACGTGTATATATACATACACATATGCACATGTATATATATATATATATATATATATATGTATATATATATATATGCATCCATATATACATGACGCGCCAAGAATGCATTTCCGGCATTCAAATGAAGAGGGGTAAGCCGCCCGAGCTGTTTGCTCCTTTTGCTGGCACATGCAGCATGAGTCACTTTGGGGATCTACACAGTAGAGGAGTTTCTGAGATCCCCTACCTGGAGCCAGCGCCGCGTGAAACTAATTAAGCATAATGGCAAAGGACGCTTTATATCCAAAAAACAAACAAACAAACACACACACACACACACACAAACTGCATGAAAAAAGAACAAAACACATGCAGCAGCACCCTAAAGACCCCAAACTGCATGCCCCATCAATCACGTTCCCCTCTTTATGAGAAGTTAGAACCCCTATAGCGATCGGCTATCTGCGGGGGGAAAACATAGGCTGGTTACTTGGCTTTTTGGTGGACCTTTCAATTTGGCCCAACCGGGCAAACAATTTCACCGTTCGGCTGAATTCAAAAACTCAATTCCAGATCTTCAAGCGGCCTAAGGCTCCGCCAAAACCAGCAATGAGCTATGTGAAGCAACGCCTGGGATCAGTTGAGGTTTGAAACCAGGGATTGATCATTTCGTTGGGTCGGTTTGGAGGGCAAGGGGAAAACCCGGAACACAAAAGGATGTCACGACCCGGAGGGAGACACGGAGGGTCTGAGACAGCCGCCGGGAGGCGCCCGGCAGTTGGCGCTCACGGCCGGCAGTTGGCGCACTTGAAGCCCGAGTCCGTCTTCGCAAAGGCGCCCGTCAGCTTCTGCCCGCCTGGGAATCGCTCGGGGAAGCGCTCGGGGTTTTGGCTCGGCCCGATGTCTCCCCAACCAAATTCAGGGGGGGACCCTCAAACGTGGCAGTGCACGTAGGGACCCCTTCCAGGAAAAGCGTCGTCCTTCTCGAGCCTGTGCACTTCCATGTAAGATAAAGTCTGACAAGTTGCATACCCGAATCGCAAAAACAACAACATGTTTAGTAGTGATAGATTGGCATGAAAAAAACAGAGGAAATGAGCAGATATTCTTAAGCAAATGGAAGAATAGAGTTCTTCCTCTGAAGCGGGGCTTTCTGATCCTTTGGAGCCTCGCACAGCTCAGTGCGCCAGTTCAAGACCGGGTGATTTGTCAATGCAATTGCAAGTGAACCAGCTACACCCCCCACCCCGGACACAAACTGCTGAAATGCGGTGTGGCCCACAGGTGTTCCCTTTCTCCCCTGGGCACAAACCGCTCCTCTACAACAGCTTCAAGTCTTCAACGTTGAACAAATGGCTCAGGCATGCTTGATGTCAACATGTTTCGCTCAGTATCGTTGGCTTCTGAAGGTATTTTGGTCATCTCGCTCACAGGCGGCCCTTGGTTTCCTGGATCCCCTACCCTCTTGAGCCAGGGGAGGAGGGCTCCGTTTTGCTGGAGTTTCTCTCCATGGAAAGGACCCACTGTATGTGAAGAAATCCTTCAAACCGGCTTCCTTCTGATCTCTGAAGCCAACCCTTCAAAGGTTACCCAAAAACAACTCGTAGAATTGGGCTGCAGGATTTAAATACCAGTTTTAGTGATGATTGTGGGAGTACACTATTGGTAGTTCTTTCGGCCCTATGTCACCAAAAAATCACGTGAACCATGAAATCCAGTCTCAAAATATAAGAAATTAGTCAGTCTTTCTGTCGGGAGCCCAACCTGTTTGGTTGGGTTTGTTGTTGGGAACCAAAAGGAAACCGCGCAGTCGGGTTCCCCACTTCCCGCTAAAATGGTCCAAACCCAGAAACTGACTAAAGCTCCGAAACGGAACTCGGGGAGTAAGCCATTTGGCTTCAAAAGGTAGCGGGGTTCAATTCCCCAAGCCACCAATCCAAAGCACCATCTAAGGGTAGCCTGGCTGTTGGAAACTGCTTAGGCCCTTATTCAGCTTCCCCTACTTGGTGATTAAATTGGGGATTTGGTGCAGGGGTGGCTGCAAATCTCCAAGCCAATCCAAACCACCCATAAATGATACCTGCCTTATATTACTGTTAAACCAGAAACCATGACACAGGCCAAATTGACCCAACATGGTTTACCGGCTGTCTCTTTTGGGGCTCCAACAATTGCTTGCGGGGGGCACGTTATTCTTGAGGCACCCACATTACAGTACTTCCACTTGCTTTTTCGCCCCACGGAGAAAAAAATCAAGAAACACATTTTTCCAGCAGTGATGGATTCCTTTAAAACCAACAGGAGAACTAAAACAAATACTAGGTCCTCCAGTAGAGTGGTTATGATAAGGGTACCCTTTTTTTCTATAGTCTATTTTAATAGGGGAACCCTCCTCCAAAAAAAGAAACGGTAAAAGGGCACTACTGGGGGACCTAGAATTCATTTCAGCAAATGGAAGAGTACAAAACAAAAAACATGATTAGACTTAGGCCCAGTTCTAGACTGTATATTCTATTGTTCACTTTGAGTCACAGTCTCCTAAGTCTCACCCAAAAAAAAACGTGAGCAGTTCAGCTCAGGCAGGGCGCAACCGCTGCACACCAGGCAGTCGGGGTGGAAGGCGGTCTCCCCAACCCGCGCCACCGTGCCGATCACCGGCTTACCGCAGGCGCCGCACTTCGGGGCCGACTGCAGGAAGCAGCTCTCGCCTGAGGCATTTCTGGGCTCAAGTACCGTTTTTTTTTGGGGGGGAGGTTTAAAAGGGGGACCCAAAAGGAAGAACAAACTGTTCGATCGGGGGGCATCTTTGGTTTTGAGTAAGTTCAGCTCCGTGTTTGCTGCGCACAGGGCCAGCGAGCTAAGCCAAAGGTACTTTACCCGCGCAAAAGCCAAGACCCACGGCAGCTATGCGGCAACACGCGGAACGACGGATTGATGCCCCTCCCGTCAGCCTGACTCATTCGCAAATCGGCACGTGTAAGCCATGAACCGCGGGAAAGCCTGTGAGTGGGCTGGCCAAACAAGTCAGAGCCTTTTCCTTACCAAGACTGATGACTATTTCCAATCCAGAGCAGCCTTCAAAAGAAGGACGGCATTGAATTAGGGCGATTTGAGCCAAGATGACTATTAACCCCTTCGTATAACGTTTTGCCGGCTGTGGGAATTCTTCCTGGTCCTGAAGAGTTGAACATTAAACGTCCAACCCAATGGTGTCGCCAGGTTTTGTTTTTCTCATGGCCTTTCGGACCACTTGCTGATTCTCAGCAGGGTATAAGTTGGAATAACCAAGAAAAACCAGCCCCCATGGTTTCCTTTTTTAATGGGAATCCCCAAAACCTGTCCATTCAATCAACACCCAGACACTCGATAAGTCATTCCCTACACCTATCGCGCGAACAGTTTTTGTCTCGGGAGCTGTGGGCATCTGTGCTTGGTTGGCGTTGAAAGGGGAGCAAAAAATCACTTTTTAGCAGTTAAGTAGTTAAGTGGGGATTTCCCACTAAACTCTAAACCGCAATAAGTAAAAAAAAACATGTTTCCCAACAATAACCCAGTGTGGGCCTCCGAATGCCGAGCGGCAGACTTTGGCGTCCGGGCTCTCATAGACCTGCTGACCCACCTGGCGCCAGTTGGAGCGGTTTCCTCAAATTTTCCCTCAAACAAGCAGAGCCCAAGTTGGATTTGCGCCCACTTCGCCTCCACTTCTCGATGCCACTAAAATGATCCAAACCCCAAAAAAATGCCATCAGAACTCAGGAAGTCGTCAAAATGACCCTACACTCGGTTGGTGTCTTTCTGGCTTCACTTCAAAACCAAAAGAGAGGAACCATTCCTTTTTCAACAGGCGCAGTCAGGAAAGCACACGTCTGATGTTTGGAGAACAGGTTGATTCCCTTAGGGAAACCCTTCCCGTGGCCCTGAAGAGATGCCTCAGAACTTCAGGGGTGACCAAAAGGAAAACCCAGCAGGCTTCCCCGATGACAATATTTGAGCAGCTGTTGGTTTCACATGTTTCACGAAGATCTTCTCACAAAGGGTTGCCAGGATTGAAAGTTTCGACCAACTCCACATTATGCCCTTGAGCGTCCGATTTGGACCAGATGCCAGCAGTTACCGGGTGTCTCCAAATCTCGCGCTTCCCCAAACAAATGCGTGTTCGTTTAACGGTTCTCTTGAAACGGTTCTCTTGAAAAAGAAAAGGGGATCGAAGCACACGTGGAGAAGCCACACGCGAATCCGGCCCGCGGCACACGTTTTGGGCCTTTGGCACCCCCCGAGACCTCGGGCTCTGCGCTTTCTGAGTCGACGCCTTGAAGCGGCAGAAGCAGCTGCTGCACTGGCCCAGGTCGTTGGTGGTGTCCGGAGGCTTGATGCCTCGCGCCTCCAGCCCCCATTTTTGGGCCCAACTTGACAAACCGGATGGGTTTCGTGAACTCCGAGTCGCACCCAAGCCCGGTGAATGACTTGACTCCACCTGCCCATTGCTGGGAAGGGGTAAACAACCCGCGCTAGGTCCTCAAAATGAGAGCCCCGAGGCTTCGCAACTACTGGCAGTTTAACCTTCCTTTTGGCAGGTCGTCTACATAAACAGTTAGGAGCAAGTTACATTCTAATCTACAAATCGTGTTTCTCGAACCCCGCTCTTATTGTCTGATAAATTTCTTTGGCCACAATTCATGAATCCGTTTGGATGGGCCCTCTTTTCCGCGTGAATGTTAAATGGACTGCGGGATGTTGGGAGCATTGCTCTTAGCTCAAAAAGTTCGACTTTTGAGGGGTAACGAGAATACACACAAATTTGCCAAAGCCTGAATAATGTCCAAGAAAATGCCAGGCCCACATCCCAACCGATTCGCGTTTCAGATGATATGATGGACAGACTGGCATAGGTGACAATGTGGCATAGGTGACAATGTGGCATAGGTGACAAAGTGGCATAGGTGACAGAGCCGAGGTTGATTCTTTGGTAGCTTCTTTGGCCCACTGGAGTACACAGAAACGAAGATGTTCTCATTCATTGATTCTGTGTCACATGTAGTCTACCCGTTTTTACTTTCAAGAAGCCTTATTTTCTGGCTATGTCTATAATTTCAAATGTAGTCTACCCATGTTTTTCCAAGACAAAAAGCACGCTTTGGAGGAGAGCCTAGGTCTGTGTCAGCTCTAATATTTCACCTACCTGACATAAGGTGGTTGGGGGGCTTTAGTTGAACTCACCGAAACATCAAGTAAAAGTGAAGATAAAAGTCCATCAGGCACGCGACGCAGGATGCAAGGCAGCGCGCGCTCTTTTCCTTGAGCCAAAACGTAAGCCAAAACGATACGTCCCCAAAAGTGTTTGGTGGGGACGTGTCCCTTGACAGGCTTGTTCAACAACGAATTTAGGAAACCGCATTGTGAAGAGGAAGTTACATGAAGGGCTGCAAACCCCATGTAATTCAACTCCCCCCCCTTGCTTTACATAATGCGGAGGTAGACTGGGCAAGTCTGCAGACAACGACTACCTAATCCGAATTACTGAGATGATGGATTCATGATGAGGTGCATCAGTGATTCAATCACTGCTGCTGCACACGACTTGGACGACAATCCCTTCAAGTGGAAATCCTCGACAACATTGAAGTCATGAAGTCCAAAGGTTGCACCTTGAGGAGCCGGAGCTATCAACCCAAGATACTATTACTTATGATCTATACCTATGCTAAAGCGAAAGGCAAGACATGCGTGCAAGGAACAGGCGCAGAAGCAGCCAAAGCTCCCACGCACTAGGAAACGGTTGTTCCTATGCCCCACATTTGCTGCAAAACACACGTATCAATTATGAGCCAAAGCATCAAGCGAGAGAGAGAGAGAGAGAGAACATGTTACATGCGAACCCAAGGCATTAACCGCGACTTGAATGTCTGGTCAGCACAACCTGGCCAGCCAAAGCAATTCCATGATGATGCAAGCTGCTGTGGCATGAAGTTCCCCTTTGATGAGGAAGTCATCTGCTACTAGCGAACCGTCATCAAGATGAGGTGTTTGGCACTTTGGACTGGCATAGAAGAGAGCTCTTGGTATCGCTCCACACAGCATTGGGCAAATTCAGTTGCTTGCATAGCGAGAGCTTTTCGCCCATCCAAGGCAGTCTCAAGATGCGCACGTCCAAGGGTGATCGTCAAGGGTAGCGGCACCTCAAGTTTGATCCGAGCCCCAAGCTCATCCCAAAAGGGTTTATGAGCCGAAGCGTGTCCACCCAAAGTAAAGTCATCTACATAAACCGAAAGGCATAATTGCGCTGAAGGAAAGTAGTAACACGACTTGAGCGAATCAAACTCAACCCCTCCCATAGCTCGTAGCACGGCATCAGCGTGCCGAAACCAGTGGGCCGAGCTTTCCGGATGCCCATAAAGGGACTTTACCAGCCGAGCACAAGGCTTGTTGAGATGCCTGTACTTCGCCGGGACAAGTTCCGGAGGCAAGAGCACCCACGTTGGGACTTCAGTCTGGAGATTGCTTTGGATATACGCCTTTATAGCGTCGGCAGTGCTACATTTATGAGACAGGAACTGGCCGCAACCGATCACGAAATTAAGCCCGCCGATCGAGGATGGCACTGAAGCAGCCAGGTCCTGGAAGAAGGCGCTCAACCCGTTCTGGTCAGACACGGCGTCCCCGCGGAACACTACCGGGCCTTTAGCTTCCATTTGGACGGATCCCGCTCGAAGCCTTTCACCCAAACGATTACCATGATGGATCCTACGTGGATTGTAGATTTCTCACGCTTGGCCCATGCGATCAAGTCGGAGTGATCCATGATTGATGATTCGTCCCAAGTGCCTTCTTGAAGGAGACCTCCTTTCTCAGATTGGATTGCCTCCATGGCGGCTTGATTGCCGACCCAGTGCTTTCGATCAGTGAGCTTATGAACTCCAGCACGCAGAGGCAACGACTCGGTGCCTAGTTCATACATTGCTAAATCAATCGGAATGCATGGTACTGCCGGCGAACGCCTATGAGGTTGATTGTCAGCAAGAACACAAGGCATTGATGGGACATGCTTCCAAGTGATATGAGGGAACAACGACTCGATGAGGATAGAACGCCGTGGTCCTTGTTACGGCCCCTGCGGCGGGCTTGTGCATGGATGAATGATGGTTGGTTGCATTGGTAAGCAGCAAGAGCGTTAGCAAGTCTGGCCGAACTGGTGACAATTCGCCAAGGTTTGCGAACCAATTGCCCATCATGAACCAAGCCAAGCATGCAGCCGTCAAACGTGACAGAGTACAACTGCTGGCGGACGATCCATTGAGTCAACTGGCCACCACCTGCAATGCAGAGGTCAGCGGCACGAATGAAGTCCTTAACCATCCGCCTGGAATTCTTGCGGGACTTCAAGAGCTTCTGCTTCAAGTGCGGATACTTGAATATATTGAGATGTTGCCACACTGACCAAAAGGAACACCCTATTGAACCATGAATAGAACAAGAAGGAAGGACACTGATTTGCTCCATCAACTGTATTATGGAATCGGACTCATTCAAATCAATCACATCCTTGGACAATCTGACAACTTTGACATCGAGAAGGCTGCCAACATCACCAATGATTGAGTCTGGTGCACAACAGAACTCAAACAAGACATTCCCCCCTGATCCTTTAGGATCCGCAGCTCTGGTGGCGTGCTCCGCACCACAGATTGATGAAGGCTGCTCAGGGAGACATTCAATAGGCAAACCCATCTCAATAAGATCATTGAAAACGGCAGCACAAGCCGTCACACCTGTGATGGGAGCGACGAGAACCGGAGTTCGATCACCTTCTTGCGAAGAGATACTTATGCTATCATGTGCCCCCCTCAGGGTCAAATTCCTCGCCCGAATCAACATCAAGAGGCATTGGGACGGGAATTTCACCTTCAGGCATGATGCTAGGCAAGTACTCAAGTTCATTGGTACCCTCGCTAACAAGCCTGCCACAGACTCCGATTTATCATGAGCCTCAGCCTGAAATGATTGATGACTAGAAGATGACATCGATACGGCGTTGGGTTATGTAAATGCGCTTGGACCGTGCGGCTACATAGTCATCCCCTGCAAAAGGGATCTGGGGTTTTGGGAACCTCCGGATCACGAAAGTCATACAGAGCTCGATCGGCTGCGGCCTTGAGTGGGAAGATCGCTTCTGAAGGAACATGTAGCTCAACCTCAGGAACACTCAGCGGAACAAACCAATTCTTATGCCTATCTTTCTGGGCTGCATAGTCCAAAGCAAGCGTCACCGATCGGTAGACGCGCCCATGCTCTACACGCCAGCCGGCGAACAAGCCAGGACTGGCATTGGGTGACAGCTTAGGCACATCCTTCCGGCGGTAAAACACAAGTTGGCCAAGCGAATGGATTGGTTCACTGAAATCCTCCCCTTTGATTTTGGTCCAATTTTTCCTGGCAATCGAAGGTGCAGTAGCGGCGTACTTGCATGACACAGGCCAAACTTCCGGTCTGACGGCAAAACCTGCTGCAAGATGAACCGCGCGTACAGTCTCGACGAAGCTTCGCATCTCCCTTTCTAAGACACTATTGTGAGGCCACCTACGAGGCAATGAAGCACTGAGCAATCATCCGAGATCACGGACTGCTTTGATGATTTCTTCAGCCTGATCACTTTTCACAATGATATCTGGATTCCTCCCAAGTGTAGGACCAACAAACTTTCTCAGTCAAACACGTGGTCAGAACCTTTGATGCTGGGTAAGATTGAATCACGCCAATGAATGTGTCACGAACAACAAGTGCGACAAACTCCTTGCCTGATGAGGATGACTTGTAGACAATGTGATGGTCGGCAGCAAGTGTGGAACCATAAGAAACTGCCTCCGGCAACTCTGAAGGTTCATCACGGTCACGTCGGACACGTTTTGCATAAAGGCGTGCCTGGCTGCAAACGTCGCAACGCGCACACTTTGGATAGTGGGCTAGACGATGCTCAGGCGTAGAAGCCTCTGCCCTCTTGGGATGGATCGGAACCGGTGCTATATCAGCGATTAGCGGATCGGAATTTGGGATGAAAATCGGCACATTTTGATCGACACGATCTACATAAATGCGATAGGACTCAGGGCATTGCAACACCAATTCATCGGGATCTGCAACAAAGAAAGGCTTCATTCCTGGTAACCACACAAAAGCCTTTCCATTTTGGACATCAAGTCCTGACAATGGGGCATTTCGGCAACATGTGATGGTTCGCAGCGCCCCACTGATCAGAAGTCATGGACATCGTGTGAAAACCGTCAGCTGGGCCCACACCTGTCGCAAACTGAACCGGTTCGCGAGCATCACTGATCAAATGCTGATAGGTGGATTGGGGAATTCCCTGCTGCGAAAGGTCTTCCGAAAAGGCTCCTGATACCCAGTATTCCCCCTCAATTGCACAGCTTCGCGAAGAGCTCGATTCAGAACCGAACCAGATCCAGCAGGGCGAGGCAAAGCCGTCGCCA